CCTTGCTCATATCTTTGACCTAAAATGGTTCAAAAACACTAACAAACACCGTAAAACATTCAAAACAAGTGTGAACCATAATTAAATGATAATAGCAAGGAAAATATGTATTAAATAAGCAAAATTAAAGAACTTAAATACTGAGATGATTCAAAATAACTATAATAACAAGCAAAGATGTGATAACATCACCCCCTCACACTTAAGCTTTTGCTTGTCCTCAAGCAAAACTAAGGAATAAAATCACAAATCAAAACATACAAATTACTCATGCTCTCTCTTGCACAACCTTTCAAACCACCAACCAACTTGCTACAAAACAACAAGCTTCAAGAATCAAATTAGTTTGGCACATAGGAGACCCATTTCTAAGCCAATAACCAAGCACCAAGAATTTAAAGTATGTGAGGATCAAGTGTGGACAAATACTCAGTTGAGATTATGCAAGACACAACTCAAGAATGAGATCCCATAGGCTTGCCCTTCATACTCCCCTAGATCAAATCTAAGAATTCATGCTAAGATCAAATAGGACTTTATTTAGCTTGTAATGGGGCTACGGGTGATAGCTAACAAAGAAGTGGTATGGAAAAATTAATCAAAAAGAGAGAATGTCACAATTTATCTAAACTTTTCAAAATTTGGAAGAGATGAGATAATCATAATTCCAAGGAGCAAATTTCTTTTAAGAACTTAGCAACTCTTTGGTAAAGTGGGGATCCAAACTCAAAAACTTTCAATCTCTTTTTTTTTTTTTTTTTTTTCTTTTCATTCTTTTCTTTGTCTTTGGACTTCTTTTGGATACAGCAAGATAATTTTAATCCAAACTTTCATGACCCCCACACTTGAACATTTGTAACACTAGCTGCTTTTTTTTTCGTAGCACAACTCCATAAAACTCTTCTTACCGAAAAGATAAAGATAAAAGTTTCATTCTCTCAAGGGTGGAAGGGAAATATTTGGCTACGGGCTAAGGGTTATAATAATGGGGTAAATCAAAGAAAAACAATCACAAAGAGGGGATAAGTGCTTAGCACTTATTTGAACAAACAAAAGGCACAATGGGGAAACGAAGGATAAAAATATATATAGGGACAGGTTTAAAGGCTATGGCTAAACAAAAATGGCCTAAATCACTTCAAAACATGCAAAACTTAGACATCACTTAGGGAGTAATGAGGCAAGTTCTAGCAAAACACCCATGACCGGAATCTCACATAAGCCTTCACTAGCAATGCAAAACACAAGATCAAGAATTAATCCAATTATTAAGTGGTTAACAAAGCTATTGGCAAGGGAATAGATCAAATATGTGTTACACCTCGAATCATCCATCACAAATTGAGATGCAGCAAGCACCACTAAAACAAACCACAAACCAACAAGAGAGAATAATTGTAACTGCATGCTAAGACAAGTAGCTTATTCACCAAAAATAGCATATGAGTCATCCAAGCAAAAGCAAAAATTTTAAAAATCCCCAAATTAATGATTCCTCCCCCTCACACTTAAAACTTTGCATCATCCCTGATGCAAAATAAAAGAAAAGGAGAACAAGAGAAAAGAGAAAACTAAAAAGCAATAAAATAATCACGAACTAGAAAATAATAAAACTAAATAAGACGAAACTAGAAAGCAATAAATAAATAGGGAAAGTAATAAAAGATAACATGGGGTGCCTCCCATGAAGCGCTAAATTTAACGTCGTTAGCTCGACGTTACCTCTCTAGCCATCAGGTGATTGGAGAAGAAAAATCCCCTTCTTTCCATCAACTTTCTCTTCCAAGTATTTCTTCAAGTGGTGTCCATTTATAAACTCTCTTAAGCTCGAACCCTTCACGTCATCATGTAAGGAACCACATTTGCCCGAATCAAGAATTATGCCTCCATTCTCTTTTCCTTCTTTTTCAACACTCTTTTGTTCAACAAGTAATGAGAGTCTCGGATCATTCACATGAACCAGCAAGTATTGGGAATCATTGGATATATAGATAGGCAAATGTGTGCCATTATCCTTAAGAACTCCAATGCCTCCCAAATTCAAAATTTCTCTGAAGTTCTCTCCAAGGGAAGTGTTCTCCATTGGTGAGACATCCTCATTCAAATCATGTGCTCCATTAAGAACTTCCTCATCTAATGGGCAACTCTCTATATGTTCCTTGCCATCATTACCTTGCAACTCTACATTTTCCTCCCAGCTTGGTGTCTCCATTTCAATGCATTTATCAAATATTTCTTCATCTCCCTCCCTAAGATCCTCATCATCCTTTTTATTTCTCTCAACTTCATGACCTTCATTTGGCAAGAGCAACTCTTCTAGAACCTCTCCATTAAATGAATCTTGAAGTGGCTCTTGAATTGTCAAATCTTGTTGTCGTGCTATCATGTGATCGAGTAGAGCATTCATGCGATCAAGTTGAGCATTCATGTGATCTTGTAACTCCAGATATTTCGAGCACGCTTGCCCTTGATACTTGTAATTGGGATCCATGATAAAGCAATTTTCCGCCTCATGAGGTCCACCACATATCATGCACCATGAGGGTTGTGGAGTAGGTGGTGTGCATCTTTGATAAGTAGCTTGACTCATGTTGGCACAAAATCCTTGAGTAGATTGTTGAGGGATCTGGTTAGTGGGGTTGAGCGTGTAACAATTTTCCACAAAGTGATTCCCACCACAAAATGAGCACCATTGGAGTTGTGATGTTTGATATGAACTTTCTTGATAATATCCTTGACTAGAGTTGGCAAAATTTGAGAAAGGGAATTGTTGTTCCATTCCTCCATATTCTCGATTCATATTCCAACTCATCTCATAACCTTGAGAAGGAGGGTAAAACGGTGGCATGGTTCCTTGGGATGCATATCTATCCATAGACTTAATCACACTCAAAACAATGAACTTGTTATGGGTTAGCAAAATAAAATAAAATAAAATAGAAAATAAAAAAAATAAAAATGAACTAGTCTCCTAGAATAAAGATTTCACTAATGTTAATACTAGAAGCACCACCTCCCCGGCAACGGCGCCAATTTGATGCGTAGTATATTTGCAAACAAATAATTCTCGGAGTACGAGTTATCGATCCACAGGGAAGTGGTTGTATCAAGCACTAGTTACTAACTTATTCATTAGAGCTAATCCTAACAATTACTTAGATGATTGATTGGCATAAAATAAATAAAAAATAAAACAGAGGTTCAGGATTTTGAAAACAATTAGAGAGAAGTTGAGATTCATGGGATTCAAGTATTTAATCACCTAGTGCCAATTATCGTTTGCAATATTTAGTTTGGAATTAAGATTTGTGTGGGAATGCAAAGTGGAATCGAATTACTCCCGTAATCTCTATTCCTAGTGAATTTCCACTCCCATGGCTTAAACACCCAATAACATCAAAGATCAGCATTCAATTATTCCTAATTACTACCATCTCCCGATTGGCAACAATCTAGAATAAACTTCCCCTAATAAGTTCCCCTTTCCCAAGGACCAACCATTAGGTGCAATCGTGTGTGCCCTAATTTATGCCCCAACTCCCATTGGTGACACAAACATGGCTATGAAGCTAGTAACTATGGCCATTAATTACAAGCATCAAACAATATTATCACGATTGCAACACAAGTATTAAACCCAAATAATAATATATTAAAGAAACTGAGAGCTCAGGCACATAGGTTCATAAACACTTTTACCCAAGAATCTCTAAAGAATTTAGCCAAGCATGACTAAATTATACATAGCAAATATAAATAAAGAATTACAAATCATCAAAAGAGTACAAGAATTAACCAGACGATTTTCCCAAATCTCCCTAGTCTTCTTCTTGCTTTCCAAGACAACTTGTGGCTCTTGATTTCTCTCCTTCTTGTCTCCAAGAATCTCTGAATTCTCTCGGTCTCGGTCTCCCCCCATTAGGGTTGAGGAAGGAGGGATTTTATAGTGGGTACAAAGTTGAGATGAAATAGGAATCTTGTACCAAATTGGACTCAAATTCTAATTCCTATATTTAAATAAAGAAATTGTCGTCTTTAATGATATTTAGAATTTGGAAGATTCCTTGAATTGCTAACTTTTAATATGGAGATATGAGCCTTGAAATCCGCGCAATTGATATTAGGAAAAGAGATCTCGCGCTTGTATTGAATTTCGCCCAGCTGCGCCACTTTAAGCGTCTGTTTTTATCCCAGAAATAGACGCCTATTCTCTCGACGCGTCGAGAATTTTCTCCACGCGTCGAGACTTCCTGTGCGCGAATTAGTTAGCTACTGGAAAATTTCGACGCGTCGAGCCCTTGGCTCGACGCGTCGAGTCCACTGGGCCCCGAACTCGTCCAAAATTGCTCAAAACTCATCCTTGAACTTCCCTTGCTCATATCTTTGACCTAAAATGGTTCAAAAACACTAACAAACACCGTAAAACATTCAAAACAAGTGTGAACCATAATTAAATGATAATAGCAAGGAAAATATGTATTAAATAAGCAAAATTAAAGAACTTAAATACTGAGATGATTCAAAATAACTATAATAACAAGCAAAGATGTGATAACATCATTATATATATATATATATATATATATATATATATATATATATATATATATATATATATATATATATATATATGAATAATATACTAGTACCGTGCGTACTAAGTACTAAGTATTATTCATATATATATATATATATATATATATATATATATATATATATATATATATATATCTAAGTACTATATTCGCTCATTAGTTATTAAACTCTAAAAAGAACTAATTATTAAATAGTAAGAGATAATTAATGCTAAATTATTATAAAGATGTACCTAAAATATGAGTGTAAAATATGCCTATCAATATATATATATATATATATATATATATATATATATATATATATATATATATATATATATATATATATATATATATATATATATATATATATATATATATATATATATATATATATATACTCCCCATCCCAGGCGGGGAATTCAAAATTGTCCCCATCCCCATCCCAGATCCCCTATTTTTGTCCCCATTCCCGTCCCCGTAGGGGCGGGGAATCGGGTTCCGCGTTGGGTGCGGGTACAATTGACATCCCTACTTGTGACATTGGTACTGATTTGGAGCCCTCCACACTGATCCACTATGATTCGAGTCGTTGTGATGACTCGGCGGTGAATGACTTGGTTTGGCTATGTCCTTTGAGGATTTGGAACCTTGTCAACGATTGATTGATTGTGTTACTCGATGATAACCACATTGTTGATGATTGTGCTTACCTTACCTTACTTTTTATCTCTTGATTCGTTATCTCTATTCCTTGAATTGATCTATATCGTTGTCTCGTGGTATTGAGTGGTATTGTTGAGCACATTTCATGTATGGTCGGAGTATTACCTCTATTCCTTGTGATTTATAAAGCTAGAGTTGTTTAAGGATATACTTATGTATTCCCAAATCTCAAAATGGTTTTTATCTATAAAGTATACAATTATGTATTTCAACGCGTTGGAGTTGGGTTGCTTAGCATTATCGCTAACGGCTGTTATACCATATGTTTTTCAGGTGTTTAGTCGATCCGAGAGCGCGATAGTTGGAGCCCGGTTTATACTAGTTTCCCCTTCCTCTAGCTTAGATGTTTTGGCATGTGAGCCCTTGAACTTGTAGACTTTGTGGAGAGTGGATTTTGTAATAGCCTGTGCATCTAGGTTGGATGGCCTAGGTGTGGCATGACATCCCTATTCCTATGTTAGCCTCCGCTGGATTTTATATGTTAATGGTTAGACTTTTTACCTATCTTCTAAGTTTGAATACTTATTATATGTCTAGTTTTGGGGGCGTTGTAGATATTCGAAAAGCTTTTGATCTTCCAGAAAGGGATAAATCATATCACACTAATTTCTCATACTATGTGTATGATCACGTTGCTTTCTACGAGAGTATTCGAAACAAACAATCTCCACCCGAGATTAAATTTCCGATCAATTAGAAATCTTTTAAGATGGACTATGAGTTCACGGTTGATATTCTAAACAAGATAGTGGAACACAAGACATCCGATACTGATGATGTCTCCACTGAAAAGTTGAAGATGTTCCATGCATTTCTTCATGACAATAAGGTGGACTGGTCACATATTGTTTTTGAATTTTCGAAGTCAAATGTGGCTTCTGGCAAGAAAGAAAATAGAGGCTTCAAAAGAAACGTTGGTTTCGATCTCATGATAGGTAGACTGTTGGAATCAAAAGAAGTTCCTCTCAGGAAAGGAACACCGATAGGACCTAAAATGTACCATATGAAGTCAATGCATCTTGGTTACGCGAAAGAAAAAGCTCTCGAAATGGGAGTCGCACCACCTGAACCACCCAAGACGCGTTCAAAACGAAAGAAGGTCTCTGAAGCTGATGAACCCGAACCAGTAGCAGTTCTGAAAAAAAAAAGATTAAGAAAGGCAATCGAGAATGAAGAACCTATTCCAGTTCCAGCAGTTGTTCCGACACCAGAAACAAACAATTCATCAAAGAATAGGCTTCTTAGAAAAAAGAGATTTGAAATTAAACCTTCCAAGAAGAAAAAGTCTAAAAAAAAAAGAGAGGAAGAAATCATCATCTATAACACCTTCTGGCCCTACTCGAAAGTCAACCCTAAAGAGGATTACACCCATAAAGATTGGAGAAGTAGAAGAAGTTACTCACGATACTAAATCTAAGGAATCCAGTTAAGATGAAACACCCTTGGATAAGTCAACTGCTAGGGCCAAGGCGAGTCAAACAAGGTTACTTGCAGAAGCAAGGTCTAAGGGTGAGCCTGACAAAATACCAAAACCTGAGTTGTCGAAAGATTTCACAGTTGACCCCATACACAAGAAGGCTGTTAAGTTGCCTTTTGTCGAGTACAGTGGAATGAAAATCCACACATAACTTGTGTCATATGCTTACTCTTCATCCAGTTCAAGCACATGGATTGAATCTTCCTCACCCGAGTCTATATCTAAGGGGGAAGTTGACAGTGGTTTACAACGCACAAGGCAATGGTTTCAATGCCCTTTCAGAAGGAAAAATTTCTGAGTTAAATTAACCTTCGGCTCTTACACAAAAACCTGCTAAAGCAGAGAAGGCCAAAACGGTTCTTACACAAGAACCTGCTGAAGCAGGGAAAGCCGAACGTTTGATTCAGTCTCCGAAAGACGATAACTTAAGTCTTGCACAAGAACTTGTTTAATCAGCAAAGACGAGAGAAGTGATCATTGCCACTACTCAAGAAGAACATGTTGAAAATGTTTCACTCACTGAAGATCAAATCCTTAAACAAGCTATCACAAATGACTACCGCAGAGTTCATAGTTGGCAAGAATAGAGGACCTCGAAGCTTGAATCTCTTGTTGAACGACTTGACAACATGTGGGACGAAGAAAGTTTTTCTCTTACATGGCTCAAGACTCAAAATGTGTATGAAGAAACAAGACTTGAAACCATAAAACGAGCCTACTCATACAAGTTAACCAACAGAAATCTTGCAAAAGGAAAAGCTCAATCAATTAATCTTGATATCGAAAAGCCATCACTAGACAAGGAGTGTGAAGCAGAACTAAAAGACCTTAGAGTTTCCATGCGGCTATCAAAAATCAAGGTCGAACATGATCAGTTGCACAGGAATGACCCCGAGGCAAGCACGAGTCATGTGCGATAATCTAATCCAATTCCAAGCTCTCCAGAAGAAGAAGATAATAATGAAGATGATGAGAGTGATCAAGATGAATCAAGACGAAAGAATCATAGTGATGATGATGATGACGATGATCATGATGATAATCATGCTGATGGCAATACCATGATCACCGACTCAAAAGATGGAAATTCACATCACAACGGAACTTCTAATTCAGGTGATGCTAAAAAAGATCATTCTTCGAAAGATGTTAGTGAACCATGTCCAAGATAAGCCAGCGATGGAAATTTGAATGCATTGCTCGGCGCAAGACATGAAGACTCCATCCACAAATAAATACATGAACCAGAACATCTTGCCCCTTCAGCAGACATCCTTAGCACAACAGTTATTCTTTCAGCTTTAAGGAAGCTAAGTACTGGGAATATCACAAACTTTAAGGGGGCGTTTGGTTCAGGTTATATAACATAACCAAGGGAATGTGAAAGTCCAAAGCTCACATTCCGGTGTTTGGTTCATATTATCTTAGGGAATCTAACATTCCCAAGGAATGTCACATTCCCTCCACATAGGATTTTGAAGGGAATGTGATTCCCTTCAAAATCTTAGATAATGTAAGATAACCTTGGTTATCTTTAGGATATTATAGTGTGTATAAAAGATAACCCTAAATCAAACATGATTATATTACATACCCCAATTTTAACCAAACACATAAATCTGACATTCCCAGTAATCTGACATTCCCAGCAATCTAACATTCCCTAAGGTAATCTGACATTCCGTGAACCAAACGACCCCTAAGGAGTTAAGGAAAACACTTCGTCATACCAAGAGAGCAAGTGTCGAGACGAAAGATTGTGTTTACTCAGAAGGAAGAGCGACCCGAGATCACATCTCTGCACGAGATAACTCCTTTGAGCAAGCCACATTAAATTCTCTAAACTCTACCAATTCTGTGATGAATGGCCTTGCTAAATCAATGGAGAATATGCTTCAAGATATGATGTTAGTCCAGTCCAATCAACTCAAGTTTGAAGCAAATCAAGAGAAAATCCTAAAGGAACATCACAACATGAAGCATTCCAATTTCAATCTAAAGGAAAGGGTCGACCTTGGATGCACAAAGGTGGACATGGTTCATGATGACTTGTTTAAAGTTGGTAAAACCAAATGGCTACCTTGAATTATGTCAAAGAAATCTTACTTTTTCTTCAGGCTCTTACTCAACCCTTAAACTCGGCACTGGATGATGCCAAAAAGGGGGAAAGAAGAGATAGAGATGACAAAGCAAACGAAATGAGGGACGAAAGAAGCAATTCAAATCCTGGAGGAAATTCCAGTAGCCCTTGTTACCTCCCATCTCATAATCAAACAAGAATACTCAACCCGAGCTATCTCGAGGCACTCGCAGAGCTAGTCAAATGCAAAGGCAGCAACTTCGTCAAAAGTGGATGTGCGACAAATCCATAACGATTGATGCAGAAGGAAATTTCCTCCCCTTTGAACCCTATAAAGCAGGAAGTGGAAAGCACTTTGAAGGTTGCAATATGCCAATTCATATGAAAGGGAGAGACAATCAGACCAGACAAGAATATCAAAGAGCCGGAAACAAAGAGATCAGAGAAGAAAATGAAAAATAGCGTCTTGAAGAAGAAGAAATGAAAAGGAAGAGAGAACAAGACCTTGCCTACTTTCAAGAAGTGCAAGAGAAGATAAAAGATGCTAATCTAGCTGCAAAGCATAGTGCCGTCTTCAAAATTCACGAAGAATCTGGCAAAAGCTATGTCGAAGGGATGAGCTCCATAGAACTTGTTTTTTGTGGAACAATGGAGTCTTTCTAGGCCGAAACATTCTCGAAGCATACAACAATTACATGAACTATATCATGTCCGATAAGTATGCAGAAGTGGCTCGAGACAAAGATATTTGAGCATTCAGAAAAATCATAAATGATGAACTTGATTACCAGAAGATGATCAAAGATCAAGAAGCCAAAGAGAAGGAGACCCGAAGGCAAGAAGCTCTACAGAAACAGAGATTAATGAACATGTAATATCTAGATGTTTCATTCCTTTTGTAACGTGAATTCAACATGAATGAAATTTATCTTTCTGCGGGTTGCGTTGAGTTTTTATTGTTTTGTTTACTTAGATCTCTCTTGTAAACTCAACTATATGGCTGTTTTTTAATGAAAATCCTTTCGTGGATAATTTCAGCCTTATAACGAGAGTATAGGTTTTGGCATCATAAAAAAGGGGGAAACTATTAAGAACAAGTGTACTTAGATTTTGATGATACCAAACTCACTAGGAATGTAGAACACTATTTTGCTCTCGTTATTTTGTGTCTTTCGTGCTAGACGAAACTTGTTCATGCTCAACTTATGATTCATGTTTAGCAGAACATTTACACGAATCAGAGCAGTTCTCAGTCAACTAGGACAAGTTGAAGAGAAGAGAAGATCAAGAGAAGACCGAGAGATCAGCTAAGACCGAAACCTAGAAGGGTCTATCTCTTGTGTGATCATCAAATGATAAAGAAAGATCATTTGATCTGGAAAGATAACGAATGATAAGGTCAATCTTTCGTTACCAAAGCCCAAGACTACGAGTCAAAGTCTTACTCGATTGGACAAGTTCTATATGATTGTTCAGAAGCATATTTGTCCAAGTCTCAATACTGGGAAAATCATCCTAGACAAATGGTGTCCAAGGAATGATATTTCAAATATCAAGGAGCATTAAATGATTGGTACTTTTGTCAATACAAAAGGACAAAAAGGTAGGTAACCTTTTTGAAACCAACGGCTACACAGTACAGCCGCATTAAACTGTCCTTGCCCAGTAGTTATTACATGCCGGTTAATAGGTTTGAAATTTTCATCTCCCTCCGACAGATGGATTTCTCACCCTATAAATACCCATCTTCATCACTTGAAGAAGGTGCTGGTCTTTATCACTCTTTGTTATCAAGAAAAGCTCTTAAAACTCTCTAGTCAGAAGCTTTCTTAACCAACGTGTGTTTGTGAAGATTTTTCTCAAAGATCATCTACTTTTAAAGTCTTCACAACATCAAGAAATCTTGCATTGTCTATACGAAGATCAAGAACATCAAGACAAGATTTCAAGTTGGAGATACCATCAATCTTTTCCAACACTCAACTTTGTCGGAGTTGATAGAGGCGGAGTAAACTCGGAGGAGTTAAAAAACCTAGCAAGTTATTGTCCGGCTTAGTGATCAAGGAAGCAAGCTTGGATTAGTTTTTATTAGGAGTGATAGTGCAAACCCTTTCACGAGTTGTGAAAGAAGAGTGGAGTAGGCTTAGTTAACAGATGAACCACTATAAAAATCTCTCTCTCTCTCTCTCTCTCTCTCTCTCTCTCTCTCTCTCTCTCTCTCTCTCGTTACTTGTCTTTAACCATCTGCATTGCATTGCATCTACATTCATCAAAGCATAATATTTTACAACGAAAGTGTGCAAAGAAACAATTAAAAAGGATACGTATTTTCCGCTGTGCCTTACTCTTTCGAAATATGTTTTAAAAATTGCATAGAGTCTATTCACCCCCCCCCCCCCTCTAGACTCTCATCCTTAGTATCAGGACCAACAAAGTACTTTTTCATGTACTAAAAGTACCTTATCTATGTACGTAAAGTACATTTTTTAAAAGTACATTATTTGAGTACTGAACGTACATTATTTGAGTACTGAAAGTACATTATTTGAGTACTGAAAGTACATTATTTTATATATTCTATCAAATAATGTATCTTCAGTACACAAATAATGTACTTTTAGTATATTAAAAATGTACCTGATATTCATGGTCCACACAGGCATGACAAAAAAATTGATGAAAGAAGGAGAGGCGGGGAAAGGTGAGAGGGCTAACCTTGATCGAAAAGAGAGGTGATGGCTAGAAGAACGGAACTGACTCGAGAAGAGGTAGAGCGCATGTCGTCGAAAAAAGGAGGATGAAAAAGGTCCCCGGAGAGGAAGGGGAAGAAGATTTCTCCGAAAATTGGAGATAATGAGAAGTCGAAGTGCAGAAGGGGATTGTGTTAATGGACATGATTATTTATAAGTATGGCCGGCTGGCCAGATCATGACACTTGTGCTCCATCAGACGTGGGGGGGGGGGGGGGGGAGACGTCACGACGAGGCAGTTACAAAAAGACGCACATCGAGACTGTAACCAGCGGAGATCGAGGAGTTATCATAATTACAGGTCAGTAACCGTACCTATTCTCAGAACTAGTCAGATGTAGGAAAATAAGGTTGGAAAAACCCAATAATAATCCTACAGAAAAGGATTATTATTTTCTTGAAATATTGGGAAGGAAAGGACAAAGGGATACGGCTTGGGTGGTTAGTACGAGTCGAGCGAATCAATCTTTCCTTAAAATCGTATTTGCTACCTCCCAGAAGCGCTATGAGCGTTGTACCCTAAGTTTCCCAGGATAAAACGTACTACGGTTCAATGTTTGAGCACCCAAACGAATAAACCCAACGAACGAGATCTTGGGATGAACACATCAGGCTATGAAAAGAGTAGAAGTAGAGAGTTCTGAGAGTTGCCAAAATAGAGCTTGGGATGAGCACAGTAGAGTAGAGAGTTTTGAGAGCTGCCAAAATATAATTTCGTTGTGTTTTTTTTTTTTTTCAATCTGAAGGTGGTGTAAATAGCATTCATAAACTGTACAGGCTCTACCGGTAGACAGGGATTTGATTTGCACCCCCCTGCACGCGAGAAAGGGCCTCTATGCTATACAAGTCAATATGTTTTAGAAAGGCTCTTGTATGAATTGTGGTGCAAACCCACTTCCCAAACTAATGTGGAACAAAAGCTACTTTAAAGCCTTTCCCCTTCATTTTCCAACTCAAATGGGTCTACTTTGAGAATCAATTTCCCATTCACCCATTATCCGTTTTGAGCGTATAATATATCAATTTCTTCGCCTCACTACGAAGAACCTGGATCCACTTTCACCCGACCCAAATCGAAAGTGGACCCACTAATAATTGTACCACAAAATAGCTACTTAAAATGCCAATTTATGCTATTTTTCCAACATCAGATAGGTGGCGAAACCAGTCAGCATAGTAGCACGCGCCCGACTAAGTGCCTGTCTAAGCTAAAGGAGATAGCGATAAACCAGTCGAGAATCCGAGCACTACACTTGGTGATTTTATTCTACTTTCCTAAGTTGTCACTCGTCTAGACTTCAGGAAAGTGAGGGACTGGTGATAGATATCCCCCATATGGGTACTCAACCTGGAGCATGTAGGGTAGTCAGTCCCGATTGCCTAGGGACACTTACCAATTCAAGAGAAGATGCCCCATTCGCAAGCAGCGATGGTACGGGCACCCAGGTGAGCAGATTTCATAGTCGGTGTGTCCCCGACTGGGTTCCTAATTGGTTGGGATGGACGACCAGGCTCAGTAGTCGGTGTGTCCCCGACTGGGTCCATAGAGGGCTTTGATGGGCGGCTAGGCTCAGTAATCGACGTGTCTCCAACCGAGAACCAAGCTGGTCGGGATGGGCGAACAGGCTATGCAATCGGAGCATCCCCGACCGAGTCGCAATCCAGAGGTGGTTAATGGGCGGATTTTGTGGAGATTCTTTCCTTGAGCGGCAAGCTGTTTCCTTTCTCATTTTAGGCAATCAATGAACAGATTTCGGTAGTTTCTAAAGCATACCTTTAGTTATTTTCCGTTTTTTTCTTGCCTTGTAGAGGATCCAACTCCTTGTATAAATACTCCCCGGGGGTCACCTTGGAAAGGGTTCGAAAATTCAATCCATTAACGTTACTCTGCTCCTTTTTTTCTCGCAAAGACAATTCACTTGTTAAACCTAGTATTTTACGGTAGTGTTGGCCCGCCAATCGGCTGCTTTAGGTCGTAAAACCAACATTGGCACCGTCTGTGGGGATCGATACAAAAGGACTCGTCTCTAAGCTTTGCTAATGGCACGAACCCGTCGCAACGTCACTGACTCTGAGTACAATATATATAGTATGTGTTCATAACTACTTTCTCAACTTACTGAATCACAAAGAGTCAATACTGACCTCAATGGACGATACCATGACCTCTCATTTAGGAGAGTTACTTTGTGCCACTAGACCATAATGTCATTGGCAATATAATCTTTTACATGATAGTGAAAGAAACATTAAAAAGAGTTAATTACCAAAATTGTCCCTTGACTATAGCGAAATTGCCAATTTGGTTCTCGACTTTTTTTTTTTTTACCAATTAAGTCCTCAACTTTAAAAATCTTAACCAATTTCGTTCTCCGTTAGTTTTGCCGTTAGACTTCCATTAACTTGGGACCAAATTGGTAATTTTGCTATAGTCAAAGGACAATTTCAGTAATTATCTTTAAGCGTGGCAATTCGGTTCGGTTTTCCCGAACATTGAAGTAATTAACCGTACAGAACGATTCAGTTAAATACCGAAACAAAATACCATTTGATTTTATTTAAAATATTGTTGGTCCCAAAAGAGGTAAGGTGAAAGTCTAGAGGGGGGGGGGGGGGGGGTTGAATAGACTTTCAAACTTTTTAGCACAATACAACAATTGCTAAGGCAACAGAGAAACCAATACTCTTAACTAGATTGTTAGAGTCCGGTGCAAAGCGGAAATAATAAACGATACGGTGTGTGTGTAGATTGTGTCAAGATTATTCTCGTGAGAAGCAAGCAAGAGTAGTAAGTAAAGAAAACAGTAAAGAACACAAGACAATTTATAGTGGTTCGGAGGTGATGTAATCCTCCTACTCCACTTGCTCTTATCTCCAAGAGCAATTCACTATATCCACCACTTTTTGGTTCCAAGATACAATGAATTCCGTGATCTAGTGCTTTGATCACCAAGCCCACACTAATCACGCCCAGTGCCACCAACACTGCTGCTTCGGGTTTCACGTCGCCGCGTTACTTTCCCAGGATTTCACAACTCCGCGTTACTCCCCCCCCCCCCCCCGTCTTCTACACTCCCGTAGAAACGTATCCTTCCGTGATCTAGTGCTTTGATCACAAAGCTCGCACTAATCACGCCCAATGTCTTCCGACACTGCTGCTTCGGATCTCACAACTCCGTGTGACAATTCAGGATTTCACAACTCCGTGTTACTTTCATCCTTTCCCTTGTTTTGCTCCAAAACAAGTTTTGCCTTGATTCCAACTTTGAGACTCTGTAGATGATCTTCAATGGTGCGCTGAGTCTCTTGTAGTTGATGAAGATTTTAACACTCTTGGATATTTCTTTTGTAAGCTCTGTATCACTCTGAGTGTTTATCTCACAAAGAATATATCAATTTAAGCTCTTGAGATGGAAAGCTTTCTTTGAATTTCGTATGCTCTGTTTAGCTCTGTTCTTTGCTTTTTGTATTCATGCTTCTTGCTATTTGCTTCTACTTTCCATTGCTTCAATCTTCATCTATTTATAGCTGGTAATGAGAATCCGTTCGTTGGAAAGAAACGTTCTTATTTTTGAATTTCATCTAGCTGTTTAGCCTTTTCAGAGGATAAGATAAGGTTACAGATATGTCAGAGATTTTCTGCAAGTTGAGCTTGGGGTTTTTGCAAAAATGGCGTCCCATAAATCTTCATCTGGTGTAGATCACGCCTTTTGGGATTTTTATCTTCAAAATATAATCCCAAATATAACCCCATACTAGTTAGACTAGTATTTTTGCTTCTGCAACTTCTTCTTGTAATTCCTCTGTACTTCACGTGTCTGGGTTAATTTACTAATTAACTGTTTCCAGACTTCATCTCTTAAATTGACTTGGGAAATCTCTTCCCATGTGAACTTCATCCCTTACTATATTTGGAAATGAAATCTCATCCCTTCCTTGATTTGTCAATTGAAATCTCACCCCTTACTTGATTTGGACTTGCAATCTCATCCTTGATTTGTCAATTGAAATCTCATCCCTTGCTATTTATATCTCCTTCTGCCCCAAGGTGAGATACGTGAACTTCAACGGAAAGAAAAAGCGTTCTTTGCTTTGACTTTGATAAAAAATTGTCAGTTAAAGTTCAAATGGATTGGTCATACCTATCCAATAATCATGAATATAAAAGACTCGCTAATCACTCGGTTTTTGGGGCATAATAATTATGTAGGAGAGATGGCCGAGTGGTTCAAGGCGTAGCATTGGAACTGCTATGTAGGCTTTTGTTTACCGAGGGTTCGAATCCCTCTCTTTCCGTACCTTCAGTTAATTCACCGATTGGACTAGCACCAATGGATCAAATCATAGCAATGGATACAATTATTCCAACAACGAGTTCCTTATTTTTTTTGATATAGATCAGCAATTCCTAATTGCTGTGACGCGGAAACGTAAAATAAAATACCATAAAGAAACCAAAATACTGGAAGAGTCGACAAGGAATGAAAATAGACCTTTGGTCTATGATACAGAGATGAAATAGAATCCGGATCAAACCTTATCTTACTTAACCTTAGGTTCATTTACTTTATTACTTTACGGAAAAATTTTTAGGAACCTCTGTTCTTTTAGTTAGTCTGATGAGAATAATATTCTATGACTAGAAATTCATTTATTTTCAAACCGACCCATTTAGTATCTATTATTTGATTGACTAAGCCTTTATAATATGGGGATGGGTCAAGGGCCAAATGGTTTGGCAATTCCTCATGAGGGGATGACTCGAGAGAATTTTGAATCAGAGCTCTGGATTTTTGGTTATCCTTCGACGTAATAATATCTTGGGGTTTGCAGCGATAACTCGGTATATCTACTATACGACCATTGACTAAAATATGTCGATGATTCACTAATTGACGGGCTGCAGGAATAGTCGAAGCCATACCCAATCGAAAAAGGATGTTATCCAAACGCATTTCAAGGAATTGTAGTAAAACTTGACCTGTTGACCCCTTGGCTTTTCTGGCAATCCGAACGTATTGAATTAACTGTCGTTCTGTAAGACCATAATGAAAACGCAATTTTTGTTTTTCTTCTAGGCGAATACAATATTGAGATTTTTTTCCCGGAACGCGATTGGTTTCTAAGATCACTTTCAGCCCTAGGCCTTTTATTAGTTAGTCCTGGTAAAGCCCCCAGGCAACGTATTTTTTTGAAACGAGGTTCTCGGTTACGCGACATAAAGACTCCTTAATTCTGATATTCTTATTGAGTATTTACTATGTACTATTTCTTTTTATTTACTTACTTAATTGAATTTACTGAATTTCCTATTTAGCTTAGAATGAATTCTTATCTTTTATTTATTTCATTTTCAATTGAATTTGTTTATTGAATTCTTTTTTCCAGACTAAACCTAAACTGAACGAGATGATAAAGTAAACAAATTTTACTGAAGTAGTGTACTATAAAGAGAATGAAATGAATTGGATAAATACCCTTATATTATACATTTTCTATTATCTATTTTTCTATTTAAAAAAAGGAATCCTTTTCCTGATATAGTTGGAAGTTCCTATAACCTAAACTTAAGAAATTGACACTATTTCAATATTCTTTGATTTCAATTCAAAGGGACATTATCAATCATGTAAAAAATGGAATCAAAAATGAAAAGCCAGCTATCGAAATCGAACCGATGACCATCGCATTACAAATGCGATGCTCTAACCCCTGAGCTAAGCGGGCCCCCATCACATAAATTTTATATGCACAGGAATTCAATATCAATAAACCTTGGGAATCTTGGTTATGAACTATGTATTTTATATATTTCTTAATATTTCTGATTCTTAGCTATTCCTAAACTAGATGAATATAGAATTAGACTTTGAAAATGAGATTTTTATTCTAAAACATAATGATTCATATAGGATTTCGATTTCTTTATCAGAATTATAATCTTAATATTCTTATTATCTTAATAATTATTAGATAGGGATAGTAAATATTAACTTATATTTCATATTTTTTTAGCTAGTCAAATTTTATTTTTCATTTTTTCTGAATTCACCTGAGATTTGAAATCATTTTTTTACAGTTCGTTTTTTTTTTTTTTTAATTATTGAATTATATATATTGGATTTGAGTCTATATCTATATAATATAGATTTTTCATTCTAGATTGATTTCCAATTGTTTTGTTTACTGCGATTATGAGTTATAACTAATAAGACATTCCTGCGCTTTTATTCGTACTTTTCTTCGTAAAGGAGTTAAGACAAAAAAAAAAAAAAAGAATCGACCGTTCGAGTATTTCAAATTGAGTGTAAAAATGACAGAAAGAGAGACATATATCTATATTTCTATATTATGGGGGTATATATTCATCTGTATTGAATTGCGGATACAGAAAAGATAAAATCATTTTAGACCAAAAATGCATCTCCTTTTCCTAGAATCTCCTTTTCCTATATTAGGTAAGAAAGCAAAGAGGAGAAAACGCTTTTTTGAGATAGGAATCAGTATCTAATGAATTGAATGGTTCGAGTATAAATGAAAGAAAGAAAATAGGGAATGAGACATCACAACAAGATCTTCATCTCAAAACAAAAAGAAAGGGGGATATGGCAAAATCGGTAGACGCTACGGACTTAATTGGATTGAGCCTTGGTATGGAAACTTACTAAGTGATAACTTTCAAATTCAGAGAAACCCTGGAATTAAAAAAATGGGCAATCCTGAGCCAAATCCTGTTTTCCGAAAACAAACAAAAGTTCATAAAAAAATGATAGGTGCAGAGACTCAATGGAAGCTGTTCTAACAAATGGAGTTCACTGTATTGAAGAAAGAATTGAATAATCATTGAATTGATTAAATCATTCACTCCATAGTATAGTCTGATAGATCTTTTAACGAACTGATTAATCGGACAAGAATAAAGATAGAGTCCTGTTCTACATGTCAATACCGGCAACAATGAAATTTCTAGTAAGAGGAAAATCCGTCGACTTTAAAAATCGTGAGGGTTCAAGTCCCTCTATCCCCAAAAGCCTAGTGGACTCCCCAACTTTTTATCCCATCCTGTTTTTCATTCTCATTGGCGGTTCAAAATTCCTTATCTTTCTCATTCACTCTATTCTTTTACAAATGGATCTGAGCGGAAATGGCTTTTTCTTATCACACGCCTTGTGATGGATATTTGATACACGTACAAATGACCATCTTTGAGTTTGAGCAAGGAATCCCCATTTGAATGATTCACAATCAATATAATTACTCATACTGAAACTTACAAAGTCATCTTTTTGAAGATCGAAGAAATTCCGGGACTTGGATAAAACTTTGTAATCCGCTTTTGTTCTTTTAATTGACATAGACCCCAGCATCTAATAAAATTAGGATGCTACATTGGGAATGGTCGGGATAGCTCAGCTGGTAGAGCAGAGGACTGAAAATCCTCGTGTCACCAGTTCAAATCTGGTTCCTGGCACATCATGAATTTTTAGGAGTCCCCCTTCGGGACATGACTTGTTACTCCCCCTTTCGGGTCGGGGGAAATGGAATTTTTTATTTCAAAAATGGGCATGCTAGATCATCTATCCATATACAGTATAGATAGATCAACCGGGAGATTCCGCAATCTTTCTACAGATAGTGGGTGGGGGTATCCACCCCTAATGGCCATGTTCTATTCGGAGGAATAAAATAAAAATGATCTTTCGGAGAGATGGCTGAGTGGTTGATAGCCCCGGTCTTGAAAACCAGTATAGTTTTCAACAAACTATCGAGGGTTAGAATCCCTCTCTCTCCTTTTTTTGCTCATTGAATAGACTTGTTTCTTTATGGGTTTTGCCCGAACTGGTATCCAATCTCTTTTTTCTGGCTCGACTATCCCACTACAGAAAATTATTAGACTCTTCCCTTTCAAAAAAATTCCACAATACATCACATAATACAATACATCAAACAATCATTTATAGGATTTATAATGATTCCTAAGAGCAAACTCACCCCTTGCCTTGCATGCACTATCTAAATTTGGTCATTTAGTTTGGTAATAAAAACAAAAATGAATAGAAAAGAATAAAGGTTCGGGGCGTATATCTACGTCCAATCTACGATAGAGGAGAAGGTTCCTTCGGAACAAATTTTGTTTTTTGAAATTCAAAATTCCTCGTTTCTTTTTTTTTAAGAATAAAAAAGGGGGGGGGGGGGGGAGAGAAATGACAAAAATATATTGGAACATCAATTTGGAAGAGATGATGGAGGCCGGAGTTCATTTTGGTCATGGTACTCGGAAATGGAATCCTAAAATGGCCCCTTATATCTCGGCAAAGCGTAAAGGTATTCATATTACAAATCTTACTGGAACTGCTCGTTTTTTATCAGAAGCTTGTGATTTGGTTTTTGATGCAGCAAGTAGGGGAAAACAATTCTTAATTGTTGGTACCAAAAATAAAGCAGCTGATTCAGTAGCGCGGGCTTCAATAAGGGCCCGGTGTCATTATGTTAATAAAAAATGGCTTGGCGGTATGTTAACGAATTGGTTTAGATGTGTGCCAAGGTTTCAGATGGAAAGGATATACAATCTTGATCTGAATACCTTGTGTCAACCAATTTTCCGGAAATTCTGTTTCGGATAACGGATTACCAGTATAAGTGCACTTAATATGCTTTTCTCTATTCCATTCCTCGAAATCTTCAGACCATTCAGGAATTTGCAATAATAGCATACGTCCAAGATTTTTACCGATTATCAATGAAGGTAATATAAGATTTTTTCTAAGACTTGATTGGGCTATTAAAATGCAACCCCTTAACATTTGGGTAATTTCAAAAGTATCCCAGGCTTCCCCTATCTTTAATTGCTTTTTTTCCTTTACTCGGTCGTTTTTTTTTTTTTTTTTGTTTCTAGAAACCCAAGCATTGTCCAATTGATTAGGAAGAGTTTTTTCTAGTAGGATATTTATTTTTCTTTTGATCACTTTAAAAAAACTTGATAAACTCCTTGGATTGGTAAAAGATATTCTTTCTTTTCCATCACTTTGTTGTGTATCAAAAAAATATTGTGACATTTCATTTCTTATAGCTTGCTCAAGTCTATTATTTTGAATGTAGCGAAATGGGCGATACCATCGTCAATAATCAAAAAGCAATGGGCTAATGAGGCTTTTTCTTTCTTTTTCTTGTATTACACGTATTTCACTTTTTAGTACTTCGATTTTTCTTTTCGAATAACAGGTATTCGAATTTGAGTGGAATTCTTTGTCGGAATGTCCCCTTGTTCCTTTTTTTTTTTGTCTATCTTTTTTTTTTTTTTCAGATGATTCGCAAGTTTTCGTTGCTGTTCTATTTCTTCTATTTCTTGTTCTAATTTTTCCATTTCTTGTTCTATTTCTTCGTCTATTTTGTCATTTTCCTCTTCTTCATCTGTACCTTTCAAGATCAACGCGCGCTTTTCTATTTGTGAAAGGTTGCTCATTTTAGGAAGAAGAATGGGTGAGGGTATTCTGCCAAAAGAGTGGAGACTCATCATACAAAAGAGAATCACAAAGAAAAAATGAAAATAGTCAGATCGAATGATTGATCTAATAGAACGATTTTTACCTATGTGTTTTCCTACCAATTCAATACGTATGTGTTTTCCTGCCAATTCAAAAAATTCGCATACTAAAATTTGGCCAATGAACCAGGCAAGAAAAGAACTTGTTACGAATAACATCTTGTTGTTGGATCGAAACGTGTAAATGCTGACTAATCTCCTTGCCGCTGAACTTGGTAAAATGCAAGTGTTAAGAAACTGTTGTAAAATGAGATGATTTAGAAATATACAGCTGAGATTAGACATGGAATTTTGGTTAGCAAAAACGCGTTTCTGACTTTTCCAGAAGATATGGAAAAAAAGATAGAAAAACCCGAGTGCAGTTATTGTACGAGGTCTAGTCAAAGCAATATGGAAAGGTTTATAATATATTGATATGAATATGAGTCGAATTGTTAAAAACAATTTTCGTTAAAAATTTGCTCCCCGAACCTCAACGGAAAGAAAAAGCATTCTTTGCTTTGACTTTCATCCCTTCAAATTGAAATTGCATCCCTTTGTCAATTTTGAGAAACTTCATCCCTTCAATTGGAATTGCAAATTGCTTCCCGGCCAAACCATCGCCCATACTTCATCTGATGCATCTAAACTTGGCTTCTTTAAAATATGTGAGATGTGAGATTCAAACCTGTGACCTTACATATAATATTTCAAGCTTTTACCAACTTGCCTGTACAGCCTTTTAGTCATCATCTCGTTTCACTTGGTGTACTCCTTTCTTTTCATAGATGCTTGATCTTCAAGATAGCTTCATGCAAACTTCAAGTCACGTTCTTTCTTCTTCGGGATTTCTTGAGGGATTTCTTCTTAGGATGATAGTCTTCATAACTTCATACGCATACGTCTTCCTCTTCTGTTTGCCATTTTCTTTAGGCAAATTCTTGATTTTAAGCTTTATATCTTCTTCATCCATTTCCTCAACTAATGAATTTATTTTTCCCTTTCTTGGTCTATGACTCGACTAGTCTAACCAAAATAAAATTGGGGATCTACGATTTACAATATGGCATATCAAAATCTATTACAATTTATTCCTAACAATTTCCCCCCTTTTGATAATGCCATAACATATACTCAAACATTGGCTTTAAGTCTTTTAAAAGATAATTTCATTTTTGCTCAATTTTATTTTGACAAAGCCAAGATGAGTTTGACAAAAATAATTCTAGGGAAAATACTTGTGAATTAATTTAGACAAGTCTTATACGCATCCTTGATTAATTTTAATCAATTTTTATCTTTTCAATTTTGCATGCGTTTAACAACTCTTGTCTTTTTAATTCACGTACTAATACATGATAGCCAAAAAATAAACAAAAAATAAATCAAAACAGACTTAGATCAGACCAATGGAAATATTTATTCATTTTAGTCGATAGATGAAATTTTATTATAGCCAAAATCATTCCAAAATATTGATATTCAAAACATCATATTTTTGAGGAGTTCATATCTGATTACCTTCTGGGTTTCTTGACTCCCATGTCAGCTTTCAATATGTCCTTGATATGTTCTCTCATCTTGCAGATATCATTTTTGAACTTCTCACATTCAAATCTCTTGGTCACATTTCCAGCCATGTAGTGTCCAAAGGCATCTTTAATGTTGATGCCCGGAAGAACTCCGGCTTCCCACCAAATTATGCATTCTTCAAAACTTCTTTGGAGTCCCAAATTTTCACCATTATTGTTGGTGTGATCTCTAAGCTCGTACCACATCTCGGTTCGCTTTCTTTTCACTTCTTCTTCATTATTCTTGTCAGATATCCATTGAGCTTGACCAGCTTTGGGCCATCTTTTCACCATACTCGGCACATTCTCGGATGTCTAGATTTTCTGCGGTGTTACGGTTTCGTTTGAGCATTCGAACTAGCCTCGAGTTTCAGCAACTTTCGATGAGCTTGATCCAAGACTCGAATTTGCAAACTGAGCGAAACCAACTTGGGATTATTGACCACGTCCTCGGCCTCGGCCTTTTGTTTGTGCGGCGGTCAAAACTGGCTGTTGTGATTGACTTCCAAGGATGAATTCTTGTTGTTGTAAAGCCAGATGATTGAGCATTTCTTCCCCCCTTATGGCATTATCAACCAAAAAGCCAAGGGATTTGGAATCTTGTTCTTGATTGGCTTTAACAAGTTTAACACCATCATGTGTTTTGAGAGAAACATCCTGCAAAACAGACAATTTATTAGCCATAGAGGATAATTCCATTTCAAGGTGATTTATCCTTGTCTCTTGATCTTGTATGGCCTTTATTTGTCTTAAATGTCTTTCATTGTTGATCTTCTCGGTAGCTTCTCGTTCCTTCTTCATGAGTTTGATTATCTCCAATAATCCTTCGGTGAGATCTCCTTTCAAATGTCTTTCGGCTCTGTCAATCTTTGTCTGCAAAGTATTTTGATACTCCAATAACTCCTTCAAATTGGTTCGTGTGTCCTCGTAATGTTGCAAAGAGAGATGTCCTTGCTCGGTTAGAGTGTTTCCAATCTTTTGACACACAACATCACTTGATTCTGTGACTTTGGCAAACAATGAAATCAACAGATCATCTTCATCTTCTTCACGGCTTTTGCTACCTTTCATGTTCAGAGAGTGTAGACTTTTGAACAAACTTCTTCGTGAATCACCAAGAACTGGGTTTTCAAAGAGCTGCAAGTTTTCTTCTGGTGATTCGTCTTCTTCAAGATGATTTCCAAATTCTTCTTCAATAACCTCTGTTTTTTAAATAATCTCGGTATTTAAATTAGCTTCCAAAGAGGTGTTTTGAAGTGACATCATAGGGGTGTTATCGTGCACTGGCGCTTCATACAAATATTCCCCCCAATTGATTGTCTAATTTCACCATCAATTTGGTCCCTTACTTCATCCCTTGTAGGGTCCATTACATTTATATCAATATTGGTGGGGGTCACATTTGATATCAAAAGTTCAGCACAGTGAACTCTGACAGGAATAGACTCATGTGTTTCAGAGGCTGAAATTGGTGCCTCAACAAGTGTACTTCCTTCATTCGCCCTTTCTTCAAAATTTTCAAGAAAATCATTGGCTATATTAATTGAAGTATCACCTGGATGTCGATGAGTGTCAGTCAAAGATCTGTGTAGAGCAATCTGTAGTCTCATTTCATTCTCTTTTTCAAGGTTATTAGAAGGAACTGGATTGGCATCTTCTTGAGTTGCTGGTACCACTCGTTTTCCTTTACTGTTCTTCTCTTGAAGCTTCAGTCTATAAACTTGATTTGCATCCATGTTTAGTGCTTCAAGCATTGAGTCAGTCCCAAGCCATTCAAAGGCCAATTCTTCACTTTGTATCAACTCTGAATCAACTTTGGAGATAAAGGAGTGATATTTTTCAAGTTTCCATTCCTTCCATGCTTGAACTCGGCCTAATTCCTTCATCAGCTCTGGATCATCTCGGATTTGTGTTGTGTCGAACACTATGGGTTCAACAGTAGCTTCAACTATAGATTGATTTGAGATTCTCCTTTGTAAATCATTTGAAACTTGCACTTCAACTCCAACAAACTCCACTCGGGTGGTATCTTCTTCAGCTGGCATCACAGGTATGTCAACTTCATGAGTTTCAAACTCTGCCACTTCCTGAAATGGAATGAGTGCTATAGTCGAGCTTACGGTTTCTTGATCTCTGTTGCTTGGATTTCTAGAGCCCATGTGTGCACTTGCTGCAGATGGAGTTCTACTGTTCCTTTTTCGAGAGCTTTGTGGTGTGCTTATAGAACCACCTCCTTCTGATCCTTTCCTTCGATTTGATTTCTTGCCATAGTCGGGTCCAAATTTTCTAAAAAGTGTTCTGTAGATTCCAACATTTTTCTGTCTTCTAAGAGGCACATTCTTCTTTCTCAAAATTTCTCCAACAATAAGTCCATACCAACTTTATGGAGAAAGTGATTTCCTTCAAGTGGTCTGCCATGAGGTTTTGCACTGTTCACAAAGAAAAATAGGCGATTGAAGATGTACTTAGCCCAGTTGAATTTTATTCCTTGCATGATTCCGTTCATCAGACTCACGGATGTTCCAGATAGATCGTCCACACTTCCAAGTTTGTTGTCAAGAATCTTGTACATCATCTCTATAAGCATATCATACTCTGGTTTCAACACGTTTTTGGCTTGATCGAGTCATGAATTACAGGTGCTTTTGGACCACGAATTTCATTCCAGAAAGATTGAACGTCATAATGGTGAGCTTCTGGCATCAGCTCTGAGTCAGGGAATTTGAAGCACTCCTTGATGTCTTTTTCAGAAATTTGAACATCCGTTCTTCCAACTTTAGAATGAATCACGTTGTCCTTCATAGTGGCATGCAGATAGAACTCTGTCACATCTGTTTTAAAAGCTCCAGTATATTTGTAGGTGAAGAAATCGTATAGTCCACAATCCTTCAAAGCATTGAGAATTTTCTTTGCTATTTCCTTGTCGACTGCTCCAATCATGAAAAACTCCGGATTGAGTGTCATCCCATCGATCAGTTGTTGTTGAAGAATAAGTAGATTTTTGGGTTGCATGGCTTTGGTTCCAGACATGGTATTCGCCGGTGAGATTGAGAGCTTGAGAGAGAGAGAGAGAGATTTCTGATCTTGGTAGAACTGGGATTCTTGTCTGAGAGGAATACAAAGGGTTTCGTATGGTTTAAGAAGGATTTACGATGAGGTATAAATCTTAGAGAGAAATCTCAATTGAGACCTTTTAGAATAGGTGTGGTGACAAGGTACATTTAGGAGTGGAGGTGTCTTTTGATTAAGGTGTTACTAGGAAAGAGAAAGAGAGTTATCATTAGCAAACAAGGGCATTAAATGCCTCACAGTCTCTTAGGTACCCTATATACATAAGGTGTATAGAGTAAGAAGATTATGAATGGACACCTCTGATTATTCTTGAAGATTTGAGAGAGAGTTTGGATTTGGGAGGAGATTTACGAGAGAGAGGGGATCTGATTTTGTGAGAGAGGGTCAGATTTTTATGGGATTAATTATGGGTGGAAGTTTAAGAGGTATAGGTTTTGAAAGGTGAAGAGTTTTAATGGGATTGGGTTTTATGGGTAGAGGTTTAGAGGGAGGGGGTTTCAATCCAATCTGATATCTTCCTTTTTCTTCTCAAAAACACGTACACATCAGATTTAAACACATAATTTCACATAAATATAATCACATAAATTACACAAAATTTCGTAAATCTCACATGTAATTTCGAAACATATATGGAATTTTAAAATATAGCAATTAAATCACATCCATATATAAACATGCATATACATGTTAATTCCCAATTAAAATAAACACAAATTTGGAAATTAGTCAGATTTTAATTAATTACCAAAAATACACATACACATATACGGCAGTTTCTAAAACACACAAATGTAAGCACAACCAAATAAATAATCAAATATTTAGAAACTAGCCAATTATTTTAAATACCAATTAAAATAACTAATTAAAAACACTTAGCTTGGCAATTTTCACATAAGCAATCATACATAACACGTATATTATGCCATAGCTATTATTAAAACACTTAGACATGCAATTAAATCAAATAAACATAGATTTTCGAAAATAAATTGCATGGCACATAATTTCACGTTAATTTTCACATGCAATTTTCTAAATAGGCATTAAACACATTAAACTAAATTATTCATGCAATTTTCGAACAAATATATAAACGTAGATATCAAATAAAATATTTGAGCACAAGTATCAAATTTAAATCATGAGATTAAGTCCAGTGATACTTAGCTCATTTTAAGCATTCCCAATTCATGCCTTAAGGTAGAAAATCTCGTTTCGCATAAAGGCTTCGTGAGAATATCTGCAACTTGGTTCTCCGTAGGGATATACTCGATTTTTAGATTTTTCTTTTCAACATGATCCCTTATGAAATGATGTCGTATGTCGATATGTTTGGTTCTTGAGTGAAGCACCGGATTGTGAGTGATAGCGATCGCACTTGTATTGTCACAAAATATGCTAACATCGTCGCAATTCACTCCATAATGTTTCAATTGTTGCTTCATCCACAAAATTTGAGCACAACAACTTCCTGCAGCAATATATTCGGCCTCGGCGGTACTAGTTGCGATGGAATTTTGCTTTTTGCTAAACCAAGAAACAAGCCTTCCTCCCAAGAATTGACAAGTTTCGGAGGTGCTTTTTCTGTCTATTTTGCAACCTGCAAAATCCGCATCTGTAAAACCCATTAGAGAAAAATCTGTACGTTTAGGATACCACAATCCAACATTGATTGTGCCTTTCAAGTATCTTATGATTTTCTTTGTTGCGGTGAGGTGGCTTTCTTTTGGATTTGCTTGGAATCTTGCACACACTCCCACAGCATAAGAAATGTCCGGCTTTCTTGCAGTGAGGTATAGTAGTGAACCAATCATTCCTCTATACTTTGTTTGATCGACATCTTTTTCATATTCGTCCTTATCTAGCCTTATTGATGTACTCATTGGAATTTTAATCGATGATTTTCCGTCAAGGCCAAACTTCTTTATCAAGTCGCGGGTGTACTTTGCTTGATTGATGAATATTCCTTCCTTCAATTGTTTGACTTGTAAGCCCAAGAAATAATTCAATTCACCCATCATGCTCATTTCGAATTTATTCTGCATAAGCTTCGAAAATTTCTCACACAAAGAATTATTAGTGCTCCCAAAAATAATATCATCAACATATATTTGCACTAATAAAATATGATCACCATCTTGAATTCTAAAGGGAGTTTTGTCAACAAGGCCTTTGGTGAATCCACAGCTTATCAAGAACATTGACAAGGTATCATACCAAGCTCTAGGTGTTTGTTTCAACCCATACAGTGCCTTTTTAAGTTTGTAGACTTTGTCACCTTCGCCTTTTACCTCAAAACCTGGGGGTTGTTAGACATAAACTTCTTCTTCAAGTAGTCCATTCAAGAATGCGCTTTTCACGTCCATTTGATAAACGGTGAAATCTTTGTGTGCGGCATAGGCTAGGAAAATCCTTATAGCTTCGAGTCTGGCTACCG